AAATTGCTCAATCCACTCAAAGAATATCACCATTGAAACACAATCACCCTGCTTCGTCAATTGATTGTGTATTCTGACTGTTTGGAACAACAAAGTAAATGACATACTTGTTTCAACGACTGTCAACCACTGTAGTACACACTATCTTTTTTAACAACCCTGGTAAGGCCAAAATATGATTTCTAAAATCTACTTTTTATAAAAGACAGGCCTTCAAAGGACTTTGTTGAATATTGTTAGCTTTCAAGCTGAGGTTTTATCGCTGGTGATGTTTGAATACAATTGTGACGACGATGTCTGGAATCGCATTTTTTTGACGAAAGAGGTGTTAGGTTCATTGTGTTTAAATAGTGATATTCTTTAAACGGATTCAGTAATTTCATTAATTTTTTTTATCTAAAAGTAGCTTTTGAAATTGGCTTTCCAGTCATTATAATTTTTAGGGCTACATATTTTATTTAAATATGAAATATAACTTTTGGGGTTTGGGTTCCGCTTTTTTGGACTCACCCTGTATTTACATGCAAAAGAAATACAACTGCTGCATATTGCTCTGTGACTGGATTGACCTAAAGTGAACGGTGTTTTTATTTTCACAGTCAGAGAGAGCTGGACGCTTCTACCCCGGAAAGGTCTTTCTCAAAGCCAAAGGGAAAGATCGTGCCGTGGTCGTAACTTCAAGTCCTCTGACTTTAATTTTGACAAGTAAAGTCGAGTCAAGTTTGTCATCTGCCAATGTGGCCCACATGGGCGTCACAAGGGGGAACAGGAGGGGGGACCGCTTGCCCCCCCCCCCCGGAAAACGAAAAAAAAAGAAAAAAAGGAAAAAGAAAAAAAAAGGAAAAATAGGTGCAAAGCCATATTCCCATCTTCCAAATGGGGCAAAGTGCCCCCCTGCAACCCCCCCCCTCTCTGGATACGCCATTGCTGCGAACCCCCTGACCCTTTGATCATGAGTCAAGAGCCCTTTGAACCGCTGAGCCACCCCCTCCCGCCACACTAACCTGGAATTTTGAATCTCCCTATATTTAGGCACTTCGTAACTTCAAGCTCTCTGACTTTTTAATAAGTACAGTCAAGTCAAGTTTGTCACGTGCCAATGTGGTCCATGAGGCCGGCGTTTATCTCCCGGTATCAGTAGCATGAAACAATTGAGAATATGTCTATTCCGGTTCCCCTGGATGGGATGCCAGCCCATCACAGGTTACTCCCCAGCTAATGCCATAACAAATGGATACAACATAAGGACACAACATATGGACAGAAGCTGGATTCGAACCCCTAACCCTCTGATCGTGAGTCACGAACCCCAACCGCTAAGCCACACTCCCCCTCCCGCCACACTAACCCGGAATTTTGAATCCCTGTATTTAGCCAAAATCTCAGATGTATATTAATGTCGCCCTTTTAGGGCACTACCTTGCTTTTCAAATTCTAGGGTACGCAATCAGCAGACATTAAAACTGTCGGTATGGATACATATTTGAACTCTGGATGATGACACACTTACCTTTGTCAAACTGCTATGATCAACAAAATGTCTAATGGAAGGGATGTTCGAATCCCCTGTTACACATCGCAACCAAACCTTCTCCGATGTCAAACCCGCAACACCTGAAAAAGAAACGAGTCCGATCAATTAATACACACCCTTCATTAAAGTCAACAACAATTTGTCAGATTTCTTATTTTCGCTTGATTTTTTTTTTTTAAACAGATGATTGGGTTCAAGTTTGGAGCATCAAACAAAATTGCCGTGTATCATGTGTCAGGCTTTCGAAAAGGCTGAGTTTGGGATGTTAAGGCCAAAAAAAAGTCTCCGGTTTCTGGTATGCGCGTCGGCAAAATGAAAAAAGTTTTTTTTTCAATGAAAGATGATGTCTCAAAACCGCCAATCTCACTGGTTTGACTGGAATCCAGCTGCTGCACAATTTCAACGTTTAGATTGGGTTATGGTCGAGAATAAGCTTTATGTGGCCTCTCTGGGCTTCCATATATTTGCACTAAGTTTAGTCGGGCACCTTTTGCAGTCATCAGCCGACATTTGCAGCCAAAAAAATAGGTAAAAAAAAAAGCCGCGTCGCCGCACCACTTTTTGGGCAAGCTCAATACACGAAACCGGCGACTTTTTAATTTTTGGCCTAAGCCACTAGACCAAGCACTCGATAGTCTAGTTAAATACACGAATCTCCCGCAAGATATGGGTGATCTCACTGATGCTTAACAGAATATACCTGCTTATGGCGTCGGTGGATGAGGTGTGAGCTGCATCCAAATGTGACAGTCAGCACTCGTATAAATGACGGCACTCTATAGCTGCGGACTCTACGAGCCTACACAGGCCTATCGAAATCGAAACTGACTTTGCGGTTATATGAGACAAAAACTTTTTACGATGGAGGCAAACAAATTAATATCGGTATAGGGCCTAGGTCACTTCCTATCAAGCATGAACCGAAAGCAGGATGTCCACTTGAGAAGTGTACAAAAATTTCGCATTGTTTAGGCATTGTTTATTCAAACACTAATTTCAATTCTAACTCAACATTCCCATGAACGGGCATACAAATACGCAGCTTGTTGACACTTTGTGGAACACTACACAGCAAAACATGTACGCTTTTTCAGGGTATCGAAATAGAAAATGTGCCTAAAACCACAAACGCTAAGTCTAAAAAAAAATTATTAAAAAAACACTTTGCCAAACTAAAAAAGCTTTCAATTTTAGTTTCACAAATAATGCCATCAAGCAGTCTTTTCACTTTGTTTGGATACTTATAATGTACCACGCAACAAAATATGACTGAATGCAGGGACCCATATTATTTATTTTTAAAGACAAAACAAAGACTTCCTTTCGTTATCCACTTGGCTTAATAAATTAACCGAAAAAAAGGATGACAAACGAAAGGGAAACATCTCTGTGTCAAGGACGCGTAGAAAGATCATTTGATCAGTGGCGTCACCAGACTTTTCAGTCTGGGGGGGGGGGGGGCAAAGGGGGGCACCAGCATTTGATGGGGGGGGGGGGCCACTTAGGTGGATACGGATCGCCGTCCTGGGGGAGGGTCCCTTTGGACAATTTTCGCATACGGAGGATGGGCTAGATGCAAAATGGTGCCACATTTGATGCTAAATTCGATCTGAAGATATCTCCAGAAATTGCCATTTTTGAGGTAATGATTTTAACAACGCCCAGAATTTTTTTTTACCAACCCAAATCTCAGATGGGGGGGGGGGGGGGGTGGGGGGCACTCGGGGGGCACTAGGTTTTCCAGGGGGGGCACGTGCCCCCCTGCCCCCCCCCCCCCCCCCCCCCCCCCCCTTAGCGACGCCACTGCATTTGATTGGGGATTGTCGTAGAAAAAAAGGGCACACTGAGCGTCGCCTAGATCATCCGTGCTAAAGTTTAGGGTAGACATTTTTTTCACCGGTCTCCCGGCCTCCCGGCGCCGGCCACCAAAACAGGAAAGTTTAAATTGCAGTGGTCGGAAGTCCTGGAAGGCAACGGCAATGAACTCTACTGACCGGACGGATGTCATTTAGATATCAACACTATTCAGGACAAATGTTATGCCCAAGTTGTCTTCAAAAAGAAGTGAAACAGCAAAGCAGTAGTGCTCACAAACGACCGGCCATATGTTGGCAATTATGACATGTCCTTGGCCAAGCCACCTCACCCCCTTTTACCTTTTTCCACCCAGGAGTAATAGATGGTTACCGTACCAGCTTTAGCTAGCTGAAGAGTAGCCTGCGACGGACTATGTAGTATCCCATCAAGGCGGAATAGAAATATTCTCAGTCGTTTCATGCTACTGAAACCTGAGATAAACGCCGGCCTGAAGGGCCCATTGGCTCGTGACAGAGTTTTTGTGCCATTTCCCACATGCGAAACTGAGATATATGCAAAAATAGTGTTGCTGAAGGAGCTGATGTTCTTTTCGAATATAGAACATTGAGAAATCATTTGTTTTCTTCAAATGAACAGAACATATCTGAAAACTGGAAAAGATTCGCCGATAAATACCTTTAGATTAATAACATCCTGTGCCATCAAACCAAACAAGATTACAACAGAAACATCGCTATAGACTACTTTAAATGGGGGACAACACATTTGCCGACAGGCCATCCTTACTTAAATGTAGACAGGATGAGGGGAGAGTTGGTAGGACACCATCTTTCCATAGCGTATCATCCAGGCACATTTGCCGAAAGACATACGATTTTGCCGACAGGACGACGATCTTGCTGACAAAAACGTTAAAAGGGAGGCGGGGGTTTGCATCCCCCCCCCCCCACGACCGCAATGCACTTACCATCCTTTGATGAGTTGGAAGAGGTTTTTCTTCTTCCGCAGGTCACGCTGAACTCAAAAGAAAAGGTTCTATTGATGTGGCTGGATAGTTCGAAAGTTAGAGAACCCGTACCTTTTCCAGAGGTCGTCGGTTCAAATCCTTCTGAAACCCTTTTTTTTTTCAATCTTATTACTGAAATCAAGATCGATGGCCTGATCAATTGGCTGAGTGTTTTTTTTTCTGGGACATGTTCAATGTTAGAATAATTGTTATGATTGATGGAATAACTCGCAAAGGTCAAATGGAAATGAGGAATGGCACTGGAGATTGTGCCAAGAAACTGGTAAAAAAGAGAAGAATGCACACATTTAAAACGAAAGATGAACCTATTGATATTTGGAGAGAAAAAAAACATTCATAAGGTGTAGACATTGTTTTATTATAAAACTGTAGTGTTATTGTTTTATTTACTTTATTTTATTTCAACCAGCAAACAGCGGATAACCGTCTATTGCAGGCTGGGTAAAAACACTTAAACATTTAGAGTCCGAAGACAGAGTCTTGACACCTTGTTTGGGTTGCCCACCCAATTTAGGCCTGCCACATGTTTATTTTTTCATCGTGTCCATTCAATTACTTATATACAGGTTATCATCCACTCTAAATGCATACTCTACATTTTGTGTTTGTACATGTACATGTACACCGGCCTACATGCATTACAGTGCATGTACATGTATGTAACCGGGCCATATGTTGCTACATGCATATTTACATTTTGTACCATGTGCATTTTTACATAAATGTTAACCCCAATACTGTATAGCCAAAACGTATGACACTCGTCAGGTTTGGCGGATATCACGTCTCCCTCATAATGAAGCAAAGATTGGAAATAAAACAGTGAGACACTTAAAGTAAGTGTTTATAATTCCCTAGCATACAACTGTGGAGATGAAACAGAGAATAACTTCTTCTCCAACAAAATAATCCCAAACTGATGCCCTTTCACGACCTCACAATTTGTATCAGCGCGCTCCACCGTTAAAGTGGACGTGCCCCCTCTGTTGATTAACAAAATCATTCGACAAAAGTATAATATAAACAGTTCTATGAAAAGTGTGTTCAAGTTCGTTTTATCACAATTAATGTAATGAAAGCAGCGTCCCCACGTGACGCAGATAATATCTACAAAATATGGGCCGAAATATATACGATTCTAGGACTGCATGTTTCTGAGTTATTGGTTTGTCCAAACACTCGACATACGAGTTTATCAAACTTGTCTATTATCTTATCATGATTGCTTTCTTATTTCAATTTTTCTATAATTGCTTTCTTCTTTCCAAAGAATATTCAAAACTCACACCATCCATCCGACTGATACGACGCACAAGACAACCTACAGTGACATTCACTCAACCCATTACGTTGACTATTCAGGTGTCATTTGAGATTCAACAGGGGTGATTTTTTTCCAGTGGGTTTAGAACTTTAGATTATTAACGTATAATGCAAATGACCTCTGAATGCTTGAAATTTATAGATCGAGTATTCACTCGACTTTCCACTGGTCATCGTCACGAGTGTTTCTTTTTTCAAAGTAGACCTATTCCAATCTAAACTGACAATATATGCACTAGATAGTTTGTTTCTTGTACATGTAGTTTCACTACTGGGAATTCAGAGAAATCGTTGGGTGGCCGGTAATGGGCTCGGTCTTAGTATAAAACCAAACTAGTGCGACCAATGCAGCTGTTTCCACCACACCTCAGTCTTGTGCCATTTGTGTACGTATTTCTTGTATGACATCCATCCGTTGAAGTAAAGGTCTACCGAGGACTTCCAGCAAGTCGCTGACCGTCACGTGACCGTCAATCATCGCCCACTCTCGCAGCAGACACTCGGTGGGGTTGGTTATCTGCTGGCTGTCCAACAACGCTACAGACTCCACGTCTTTACCCAACTCTCCTGTATGGCAATGGATATGCTAAATTAATGAAAACCATTTGCGTGTGCACCTTATGCAAAATAACTGAATATGTTCTTTTTTTATCGGCATCACGAGTTGCGTAAAGGGAGATCAAGGACATCCCCTTCTCGAAGCGTTCACCTGTACCCTTTTGTGCCTTCTCTCAGCCGCTCAGAATTTTGAAGTGGCAGAAAGAGGTTTGCATTAATATTGAAACCCCTTGAGTGCTCCCTCCACGATATGAAGCCCAAGTGTCCATGCGATTAAAGTCTCAATTGCATCGGGGGTAATCCTAGTATCCCCTGTGTACCTACATCAGTGATTGTTCGATTAAGTGACTAACTGTCACTTGTGAGCATACTGTATATGATCGGCCAGTTATATGAATTATGAGCAAAATCCAGTGCATCGTGTATACCATTTGAAAAGATTTCGAGTGACCAGGTATTGAGGCGCTCTGGGACCAGATGCACTAGGCTAGTCTGTTTTTTTTGAAGAAAGCTTTTCTCCAGCATTGTGTTTCCAAATCCACATTGCGTACCGTATAATAATAATAATGACTAGAGGTTCGCGTTTGTTGTTACTAACGCAGAGTGGTCGGGCAGGCAATTTTTTCATTAAACACTGTCGAGTTAAGTTATGAATATTTTTATGTGAGAACAAAGGATCAAAAATTAAATCCTTTACAGTACAATCAATTATTTTGTGATAAAATTAAGTAAACATTATATGTACACATTTAAGTTATTTCTGGCTTGATGACGTAATTATTCAAAAAAGGGAAGTGAATACTGATTTAGTTCGGAGTGGATACATGTTCAATGTGCGGAAGTTAAATAATGTATGAAAATATGAAAAATGTAAGAGAAAGAATTCATAACATCTAACTTCCGGTTTGATAACGTCACAGTATTTGGAAGCATGCAAAAAGTGAACATTGTAATGGATATCGTTATTTGGGCTACGAAGATATTCGACATGGATCGAATGGCATAAAATAGACTTTAAATGCGGGTCGTTTTCAAATTCTCATAGAAGTAACTTGCGGTCCGATGACGTCATGAATTTGAAACCTTGCCAAGTTATTTGTGGATTTCAAAGAAAATCAAGGGGCGATTTGATAAAATTTGAACGGATGGTTTTCAACTTAAAGAAAGCAAACACTGTTTTATGTGTCGCTAGGGGCGCCCTTTTGAAAGATGACGTCATCACACTGCGTTTTTGTCTGGCATTCCTCACTAAACACTTTCATAATTTATATGTGTGTAGTAAAATGATTCCGCTTTTGAGTTATTTTCGGTTTTTACTGCACTTCCGGTAACACCGGAAGTGAAGGTTAAGCGGTTTTGTGTCCGGGAACAAGAAATGTTTCTCACGGCATAGTCTTCAACCTCAGGAAAAAAGATTCTCTATTTACTTCAAAAGATATAGGGCAAACTATTTCGTCAAAATTTGCCCTTAAATCGCTTGTAATTTGATACCTGATGACGTCATGATGACGTAACAAAATTTATAACAGCTTCGTAACATGGTACAAGTTCACACTAGGTTTTAGGATCATACCGTAAACCGTTCGGAAGAAACGGTGCTTTGTTTTGATGTCAGGCTAATGTCTACATTTTGAATTCACCTAAATTTGACCTTCCGGTAGAACCGGAAGACAAGGTCAAGCTAGTTCACGTACACGACATAAAATGTTTATCAAATAATGGTCTATCTGATTTTAAGGTTGGAACATGATTGATCATTTCGTTCAAGAGTTATAGGTGACAGAAGATCGTCATTTTTTTAACGAAAATCGCTTGTAATTTGACACCCGATGACGTCATAATGACGTCAGAGTACTGTGCTCCACTTAGGATGAGGGTCGATATATATTGAAGGTTACAAGTTCATATCATAAACCGTTTAGGAGAAAACCCGCGGAAACGTGCTGTACGCAAAAAAAGGAAAGATTCATCGTAACAATAATAGAGAGTGGTCGGGTTGTGCCCGACCACTCAATTACGGGGAATGGTACCACCCGTAGGGTCGTGCACAAAATGTTTCCAACTTTAATAACCCCTAACTTAAATTTCCCTTATCCAACCCTCGCAATATTCAGGTATATTTAAGTTTTGGACCATGAGCAATCAATTTAACCTTTTTGCGACGATACAATTTTGCCTCTAAATAGAAGTTGTGACATAAGGGAGACGTCTCCCCAAGGTATAACTTATGGCGAAAATGTTTCCCTAAGGGTAGATTAACGGGAATAACAGATTTTTTTCTCTTTTCTCGCAGATGAAAAGCTGAATTGTGAATGACGCGGCTACAACGTGGTCGAGCCGCAGGCATGTTAAGGCGCCATTGGCACCCATGAACTTTGAGAACAGCCAGAGATCGAAAGTGTTTCATTTTGATCGGAGGGAGGTAAACCCGAGTGCGCGGAGAAACACCCTTGTGGCACAGTTGAGAACCAACGCACAGCTCTACTCACATATGGTCCTATAAACCGGGAACGAACCAGGGCCGAAGTGGTGAGAGGCGAGCGCTTTACGCACTACCCACCCTTATGCGAGTCTAAAATGCTTACCTGCCAGAACTTTCCAGTTATTAAAGACTGACGTGTTGTTCAGGCGTAAGCACACCCTGTCGAAGAGGTCGGGTGGTAACTTGGTGATTGAGGTCGCTGGTCCAAATGAAATCCTCTGAGGAAGCGTGGAACAACTACGGTGTACGTCCTAAAAAGTTAGAGACAAGTGAGACTTATTAATGGATAAAGTAAGCTTCACGTTACACTAATACTGCATCAATTGATAGGGTTAAGCCTGCATTTATTGGAGATTCTAAAAAAAAAACATGAAAAACTGTAGCTTTATGTACGCCTTTCGCTATTAGCGTGTTCGATTACTTCCCCCACACTAACTCGTGCAAGTGCGACTGCGTTCCATTTAACTCTCACGAGACTTCTTGCACTAACTAGAGCCTGGCCAAAGTAACTGACCAACTGAGCCAGTTACATGGGTAAGTATCGCATAAGGCCATGCTAAAACATGTCGACCGCAGTATAGTAATTTGGATACGAATTTTCGATTTTGAACTTCCCACCGCATGCGCATCGCCGGATGCGCATGCAGTGGGAGGTTCAAAAACGAAAATTCGTATCCAAATTACTATACTCTAGACGATGGTCGGAAATTTGACACATTGTGTTAACAGTGTGTCTGATGAAGCATGCCTTCACTCAAGTATGTCAACTTCAATATAACTATTTAAAACCAATCCACTTTGAAAATGGGCTCCGATATTTATTTTTTATTCTTAAATACCTAAGACAGTTTACCAAATCTTATTGGTCAAGAACCCGTCAAGTGGCCGGTTTTAAAGACATAGCTGGGTGGTCTTAAACACTTTTCCAGGGTCACATGAAATTTGGACTCCTATGAAACCCGGTGCCAGCACCGTTAATTGGTTGAACGTTCACAATCCTCACGTAGGCATGCGCAATATAGTACCAGTGAGTCAGTATTTCATAGCCCTAAATTCACACTTCACCGGTACAGCTCCATATAAGGAGTTGTCTACCAGAAGGCCTTACCATTGTATTGCCAGAGGGGTGTTTTGCTGATCGAAATCGTTGAAAGTTATAATTTTTGACTTGTTTTGACTTTTGGACCGAAAAGTTTAGGGGTTTTTTGACCGAAAAGGTATATATGAAAAGGCCTACATTGGCTCGGGTAATTATCAGCATCCAGACTCCGACCGGTCTTCAACATAGTGTTTAAAACCCCCGAAGCACACATTTATTCCCTGAGTATTTATCATGGCCGCGTACGTCACTCGTACGTCGTCGGGTGACCCGAGATTGTTGTTTATTCTCACGTATTGCGCATGTGAACTTTCTCCGATTCAGAGGAACGAGTAAGCGCGGAAGGGGTGGGGGGTAATCGAACACGCTTTATGTGTTTGCTGTATAGAGCTGTTTCAAATGATCTGACCAACGTACTTTCAATATAACGAAATATTTTAACCTACACTGGGTTTACTTGTAGGCAGCTTCAGTTCGTATCTCTGTTGACCGCAGAACAGAATAACCGGGGATTCTGTCGGGAACGGTTGGTCATGCCCGGCCACTTTCAGCACGTGGATTTTTGCTTTGTCGCAACTGTTGTTTCCACTTGTGTACTTGGAGAGGTCAACGCTTGATTTGACCGATTGGACGTCAAGCGCGCAGAATGGACAGCGAGGGCCGAATTCGAAGCACAACTGTGGATAGTCCCTCGCTGTTATGCTCCTGACGAAGTCTACAAGCTCCTTCAAAAGGTTTGTGTTTGGCATCTTCGGTTCAAATGCCAAGATGGTGACTGACAAAAGCTTCCGCTGGCAGGATCTTTCCAACTGGAGCTTGAGAATGAAGTTTGTGCCGATGTGGAACCGGCTCCGATCAGCGAAGATCATCGGCTGGGAGCTTGGGTTTGCCTTCTGGTCAATAAATGCCCTAGTCAGACAGCGGGTCAGTAGACGGTAGTAGACGGTACTGGGATCGAAGAAACCAAAGTCGAAATAAAATACCTCCTCATTACTCTGGGGTTTCCCGAACTCCACCGAATCACCCCGGTAAGGAGGCAGCATGGCAGGCACCAAGAAAGACTTCTGGGAGCAGTTTGGATTGAAGACGGACGCCACCGGACACATGAGGTCATAAGCTTGCAGAAGCTTGGTCAGAAGTGGCACAAGATGGGACATGTCTCCGTAAATATGTTGCAGCAGACCCTCTGTGATAATTCCACTGCTTTCGTAATCTCTCCAATCCACAGCAAAGCGATGCGACCGTTTAGAGCCACGCGGGATTCGCACGAGTTTCTTCATGACGTCAACTAAGAACTGGGGGTCCAACACGACATGTTCTCGCAAGATGTCGTCGTCATCTTTGTGGATGATTTCTCCAGCCTCGCCAAAAAATTGGAGCATATTCTTCAAGTCGTCTTCGTTTGTCACATCGCAGGTAACCCTGGCAAGGTCGCTGATTTGGTCCAAGGTCATCACGTAAGCTGCACAATCAATCTCTGCCAGTTTTCGACGATTCTGGATCTCGCGATAGAAGTGCAGATACTTGATGGGATTTCTTTCCTGAGCGTATTCGGCGCTCTCCACCCGTCTGAATATTTCTGCTCTCAACTGCTGGAAGTCTTTGTCATCGGAATTGGAATTCTCGACGAGAAACAACGGCTTGTCGTCGAGAGGGTTTAAAACCAGCCGATGACAGAAAGGAGATGTGATTCTACGGTGAAGTTCTTCAGTAAAACGTAACCTATTAGCTTTAGAGACGCTTGCCTTGTGAGTGCCGACGATAATGATAACAGCATCTGGATGATGCGCATGCGCACAGACTGAATGTAGCCAGAAGAGAAGTTTCTGCAGCTGCCCAACTTCGTCAGAAACAGCGGCGTGTAGGTTGAAGACGATCACGTACAGAGCTCTGTCTGGCATAAAGACGTGATGTGCGCAGTGGTATAAAGTGTCTCCAGCAAAGTCCCATAAACTCAGCTTGGTCTCTAAGACCGGTTGTTTTTGGAGTACAGCTGTCATCTGTGCACGGATAGTTGTTACGGGAAAGGTTGACTTTTCTCGCCATACCTTATAGGTGTTGTGAAGATCAAATAACGGATGTGCCAGGATGGAAATAAGGTAAATTGTTATAGACGGCAAACTGGCGTTCGGTATCTTCATTGTCCAGCCAAAGACGTACGACAAATACAGGCCAAAGATGAAGCCCAAAGTCTTCTTCGATATGTAACTAGCTCTGCCTCCATATTTATGTAAATATCTCCGACCAACAAAAGTCCCCCATGTCGCTTCGATTGACATCATAATTCCGTTCAGAAACAGGAACCAGTAGCGTCTGTTTCTGCAGTCTCTTTTGAGGCTCAGTGCAAGTAGCCACGCCAGAAGGCCACAGCACGTGGCAGTTCTGTATTTATGCCACCTGTCATTGAATGTACAAAAAGAGTAGCATCCAATACCAAAAAGTACTCCTGCACTTGATATCACAACCACCACCAGCATGTCCCAGGAGGCAACGAGACTCTCAGCAGTAGCTTCTCCAGTCGCCTTAATCTCTTCTGGATGAAGACTCGCCGAGAAGGCAACAGCGACACCTGTACGACAACCTAAACCACTGGCGGCACCCAACATAACGGTATTTATCGTATCCAACACCTTGCTCTGTACAGTAGACCACACTGTCTGGTTTAAAAACCCGTCCACGCCCTCCTGACAGCTCGAAGCTTCTATCAAACCATCTCGTCTGATTATTGCGTCGAAGAGAATGCAGAACAAAGATATATACGTTGCGAACCGATAGGCAAAGTTGTAGTTGTGCATCAAGGTAAGTACCCCAAATGTACACCATACAAATGCCGTATACCCGTACTTGAACATACCAAATACAAACACAACTACGAACAAACAAAATAGCTGTAGGCCCATCTTCATTAACTCGGGCAACGTGTGCCATTGTGTGGGGTCGTTCTTGCTCGATGTATCCATTTTCTCTGATCTGAGTGTCGTTGCTTTACAAGCCGACGACTCTTCACCAAGGGCAGTCACCACTGAGGCACATTGCTGTATGTCATCTGCTTTGGCGCCTTCGGATTCGTTCCAATGTTTGTCCACGTTAATCACTTGACACATGTTCGTCTCAATCCCCTCGGTCGGCTGTTCCCGGATGTCAAACTCCCTTCCCATGAGCCGGTTCAGAAGACTGGTTTTACCGGCACGAGGCTCTCCGAGGATCAGGACCCGGGCTCGGTTGGTCGGTAGCTGACCGTCCGTCATAGCTGCCGCGTAGGCCTCTCTCAGGGAACCATCCTTCAGCAACGAAGCGAGGTGAAGACTTCTGCTAAAGTCTGAAATATTAGCCAGAAAGTTGATAGAATCGCTATTGCGCCTCGTCGGCGATGATTTTGTGATGTCCATGGCCTATAATTAAAATACAAAAAGTACAATTAAGGATTCAGTTTAATTGAAAAAGAAACTGCTACATTTCATCAAGATGCATGCACCACTTTGAATTAACTGATTTGAGGTATGGCAGACACAACATGAGGGCGCTGTTTGAATAGCGCCATTGTGTCAGCCATACCTCAACTAGGCTAATGGAGGGGGTGTGACAACATATTTACTGGCAGACCATCAATGCTAAAACGTAGAGAGAATTATATTTTTCCCCGTCAGCTATGGCCTCCGCAAAATTGAAAAGCGAAGGGGGGGGGGGATTTGGGGCTTGACACCATCCGATAGGGGTGCGGTTCAAGGACAAATTCGGTCAATAATTTGCGCTCTTCAACCTTACACATTTTAACCACGGTCCTACGATTTTGCCGACAGGAGGACGATTTTTCCGCCAAAAACGATTAATGGAGATCTCACCCCAGACCCAACGCCATATACAGTCTGACGTTTGCTAAGGTTGATTTGGCCAATTTCCAAATACTTCATTTTGATTGAAACTAGCTCAAATTACCGTTAAACAGACATTTTGATGTTTGTGGGCAAAATCTATGAGCATCGTTTTCTCTCGTTTTGAAGACCGTATCTTTATGCCACTTTCGGAGTTTTTCTCCTTGATCCAACTATGTGCTAACATCGTTTCGATATGTTCTGTAGTTTTCATTAAAATGTAAAAAATCAGCTTGGGTTCGTCTATTTTCCAAGCTGTAACAAATGGTTTTTGCAATATCTGTAAATCTTTTCAAGCCTCACGAATATTGATAAGGTTTCTATACATATGTGGTGTGCAGTACAAATGTGTACGACCCCCTCCTTTACGAGTTATTTATTGATCAATGTCAACCTTTTTGGCGGTGTTCCATTGGTCGATACCAAGACCCACGCGAAGTCGCGCCGTGTCACGCTAATGAATATGCTAATAACGCGCCACGTCACCGTTGCGGCCAAATCGGCTGTGGTATACCCATGGAGCTATATACGTACCGCGTAGACCACGTGTTTTGCTCGGCAAAAATCCGAGTCAAAATTGACTTGGTGATAGTACAAGGTGTAACACAAGCGTTTTCAAAAACAGATTAAGCTGAAATTCGGCATATACTTAGATGATAATGTAGTGTTCAACTATCTGTGAAATAAAAACGTGAAAGGATTCCTAAAAGTTGAGATAAGTAAACAGATTTGTGGACATTTTCGAACATTTTTTTCCACGACTTTTAGATTAGCTTTACCAGTGACCAGTGTTGACGTTTCTTCATCAATAACGGCGATGTTTTCACTTAAGTTTAGGATTTGTGGATCACTTGTTGTTTTGCTCAGCAAAATTCCGAGTAAAAACGTACATTGGTTATAATAGAAGGTGTAACACAAGCGTTTGCAACAGCAGATTAAGCTGAAATTTGGCACATACTTAGATGATATTAGTGTTCAACTATTCGAGAAATTAAAATTTGAAAACATTCCTAGACATTAAGATAAGTTAATAGATTTGGGGACATTTCGAACGATTTTTCCACGACTTTCAGGTCAGCTTTACCTGTGACCAGTATTGACGTTTGTGCATCAATAACGGCAATTTTGTTCACTGACATGAAGTTTAGGATTTCTTTTACTGTTATAATTTAACATTTAAATCATCCTGAGCATATTTTTTCCCCTCAAACACAGAGCATTCAAAAATCGATGTTTTTGGGGCTTGCTATCCGTTGGCTGCTCTGTCTGTGGCGTTCAGTTACGTAATCGGATTAACTTAATTCGCTAATTAACCCAAGATGCAAAGCCTTGGCAACCATAAGACTGATATACGCCCGGCCGTGTGCACTACCAGGCTCTGCTTGCAAAAAAGGAACAATCCACATTATTGGTGACTGACACATGGCAGTATACATGATATTGCGAAAACACACAATTCATAGAAGGGTTACAATGTTTTAATCTTTTATCCATAGTATTTCGTACACCGATAGCTACAAATCGGTTAGATGTAATTAATTAATGCTAGAATTGTTTCCTTTTTGCAGGTCCCAGAAGTCCAGCTTAAGTGTTTTCTATCTTTGTGCCTTTCTCACTGAATGTCACTTGTTAATTAGACTTGCTTAAACCTCACATTGGCTCAAAAGGTTGACTCAGATGGCTATGTCTTGTTTGTAGCGTCGTCGAGAAAAACAAGAATGCCTGCATGTCGGTATCCTGTTATTTATGTTTTCAATTCACTTATGAATCCAAATAATCCGGGTAAAAAGAAATGTTATTCGACGAAATGAAGGGATTTCAATAATAATAACAATACTTATTATTATTATACGTGTAAAGGTACCATTAAGGAGACACGTTATCGTAATTTCTTCGCACGATGGGAGACATCGGTCATTAGGGAGACATTTTCATGTCTCCCTAATGTCATAGCCCCCCTTTAGAGGAACAATTTTACCGTCGCAATTAGATTATATTTGTTGCTCTTTGTATAATTTGTAAACATACCGAAATTCGTGGGGAAAAAAGGACAAGGGAATATTGGGGCACATTTACGTTTGAAAAATTTTGTGCACAAGTCTATGGGGATGTCTCCTAAATGTCCATGCATTGTAATACTTATAATAATAATAATTATTATCTCACTGAATGCTATAATGGGGCGACTTTTCCATAGAACTGTGCACCTGACACAAGTTTACATTATCCTTTCTCCACGAAATTCGGTATAGGTATAAGGTATAATGTTTTGGACCACGAGAAATCGATCTAGATGGTGTGAGACATTACAATTTCTTGCCCTAAGGGTCGTTTTAACATTAGGGCGACACCAATTTGTCGCCCCAATAAGGCGTGTCGCCCTAATGCAGAGGCGATAAGCAAAATCTGTCGCCAGTACACAGTATTCAGTAGTTTAATGGTGTGTATTTACAAAACCCACGTATCCACCAGGACTGGTACTCAAGGCGCTACATCATTATTATTACCCCTGCTGTGTGGCCCATGAAACATCCCTAACACCATCTCAGCTCCCTGGGGAGTATACAGCTCGATGCTGCCATTTCGGCGCAGAGCAGCTCAATCAACCACACTAACCATCTCTGCCCTCACAGGTATCTATTTTTTCCTGGGTGGAGTGACAAAGTGCCTTGCCCAAAGGCACACGCACCATGACCCCAGGCTTGACTCAAACCCACAACCTGCAGCTTTACCCGCAGACCACGACTCCAAGCACTCCATTTTGTGGATTTAATGTTTGTAGGCCCTATTTTCTGTAAGTGCACTCGAGTTTTCGCCGTGTCCTTCAAAACAAGCTCTCAAAACTCATCTCATGTAGATAGCTTTCACTTAACCCTCCCGCTTGTTTTTTGTTTTTGTTTTGTTTTTGCTTTGTTCATGCATAGCGCCTTGAGCACCTTACCGTGGATATGATGGTACGCTTTGTAAAACAATTCTGCAAAACTCAATAGATACAAAATACTTCTCTGGTTTTGCAAATAAAACATCCGGCGGTAACACAGACTGCTGCTCAGCTTTAGTATAACTTTCACGGAAGTGAGATCATCTATAGCCAGTGGGATTTTCCCCGGCTAAATTGTGTTATTCTTTCACTTCAGAAACCTGTTACAATAGTTTCTGTTGGAGGCCAAAAAGTTGAAAATTATGTACTCTGCGTAGTAATGCCGCACTAATATTTTCATCTGATAGCTGAGGTTCTACAGAAATATTGTGCAATTATGCAAGACATAAGTATGCCGGTATACAGGCATGATGACATAAGGCCCAAAAATAAAAGTCACCGGTTTCTGGTATGGAAACCGGAACCGGAGACTTTTTTTTTTGGCCTGATGCGTGTACAACAGAGTGTGCGAGTTGACCTAAAAAAATAGCGAGATTTTACAAGAATACACGTACAGCATGGGAGTCTGTGACTAGACTATACCAGTGTCTGCTACCGAGACGTTGACATAAAAAGTGAACATGAACTAGTGAGACTTGCACGTTCTATACCGAACTTTAAAAAAAAAATCATTTCACACCAAAGACGAGTGATACATGTTGGGATTTTATGTTGTATTTATTTACATGCAAAATGAATACAAATGCTGCAAATTAATCAGTGACAGGATTGACCTGAAGTGAACAAATAAAAAAAAAAACAGTTGAAGAGCTTGACTTTTCTACCCCGACAGGGTCTTTTTAAGGCCAAAGGGAAAGTTCATGCCATGGTTGTAACTTCAAGCTCTCTGACTTGTTAATAAGTACAGTCAAGTTTGTCACGTAGTGCCAATGTGGCCCACGAGGCCGGCGTTTATCTCCGGTATCAGTAGCATGAAACAATTGAGAATATGTCTATTCCGGTTCCCATGGATGGGATGCCAGCCCATCACAGGTTACTCCCCAGCTAATGCCACAACATATGGACACAACATAAGGACACAACATACATGTATGGCCAGCAGCTGGATTCGAACCCCGAACCCTCTGATCATGAGTCACAAACCCCAACCACTAAGCCACACTCCCCTCCCGCCACACTAACCCGCAATTTTGAATATCCCTATATTTAGCCAGAATCTCAGATGTATATTAATGTCACCCTTAGGGCACTCCCGCGCTTTTCTTATTCTACAGCGTGTGTCAATAAAAACGCAGGATTAGAAACAAAAATATTAAGAATATAAACCACCCCTATTCATCATAATGTTAACCCTCTTTTCAAAGTACCTTTCCTTCTCTTCACTATGCTTTTTATCCCATCTCATTTGGACAATCCTGTCCAGAGATAGAGTACATTGAAGAAGGGTTATAAATTCCAAGCTGGTCTGATTTGTGAAATCACACATACCTAATGAAAGGTTTGAATTCAGTACAGGTGAAAGTATTTGTGGATCACAAAGAAGGACATGTTTGGCAGGATTAGGCTTACATAATCCTTTAGTCCACAATCAATGTTATTAGTCAATAATTACAACAATGATAGTCCAGTTATTAAATTTAAGTGATACTTATCATCAGTTGTTTCAAAGAAAGTTTTGTTCTGGTTTAATTGTCTTCAATGCATACCTGCATTGTACATAACTGGTCGTTGTGTTAAGGTCATTGAATCAGACCAACCAGCTTCAGAAGGGCTTCACAAAACTTGTCATAACTTTTGAACCAAAAGTCCAAATACCACCAAACAAAAATCTTGTCAAAGATGAAATTATGGACAATCAAATCCTTATCAAATTAGGCACACCAGTAGCATAATGTTCTCAGAAAAAAATCGCTTTGAATCCTGCGTTTTTATTGACACACGCTGTAGGGTACGCAAACAGCACGCATTTAAACCTTTGGTATGGGTACAGATTTGAATTTGGATGGTGACACACTTACCTTTGTCAAACTGCTATCATCAACAAAATGTCTAATGGAAGGGATGTTCGGATCGCCTGTTACACATCGGACCCAAACCTTCGAGTCTCTTACAAGATAGCGGTAAACTCACTGATGCTCGCTTCGGTATGGATGAGGTGTGGGTTGTATGCTTCAAACGTTAGAGTCAGCACTCGTACATATATGACGGCACTCTTATAGCTGTTACAAGTCTATCGAAAGCGAAAACTTGGTACTTAAATGTGACAAACTGTTCACGTAACGTTGGAGGCAAAGGTAATCACAATATCTACAGGTCACTTTCTATCAGTATCATGCATGAACTGAAACCAGGATGTTCACTCGATGCAGCTCGACATAGGTGGGCATTGTTTGTTCAAACACTACTTTCAATTTCTAAACTCAACCTTCCAGGAACACATACCAATACGCAGTTTGTTGACCCTTTGTCGAATACCACACAGCAAAATAAGTACGCCTTTACGGTATCGAAATGAGAAATGTGCCAAAAACTCAATCGTTATTAAGTTGGAACAATCTAAACTAATGCTCCAATGATTATGTAAACGATTAACGAATCATAGGTTTCAACTAAATATTGATTGGCACACTGCAAAAACTGCAGTGTTAAATTTACACCACTGGTATCTATATAGGACCATCTGGTGTTAAATTTTACTGGTGTTGTCCTATATAGATATCGAATGGTGTTAAATTAACACCACAGTTTTTGCAGTGCAAAGAACAACAGGTAAGTTTGCCAGCAGATAGATTGCTGGCATGTTCGTCTCCTTTCATCCACTTTGCTGCAAATTGGACCACACTGACATATCATCCCTTTCAATTAACTGTATATATCTCTGGATGTAGGTGTCCAAATGAGATAGGGAAGACAGCATTGTGTTGAGAAATAATCATCCTTTAAGTGTATATAAGTTATTATTAAACAAACTGGGAGCTAGTATTATTACTATTTGTTTCTAAATGTATTAATTTTGTTTGATACACACTGCATTAGGAGTGCTTTCCATTTGGGTTTTCCTGTTGTTGTGGGCGGCCTAGCTCGCCGCGCTACAAGTTGAAAGCGCAGTGGTCGGAAGTCCTGGAAGGAAACGGAAATGAACTTTACTGACCGAACAGATGTCAATAGGATATTAACAGTATTAAGGGCGCTCTCTTCCAAATAAAGTCAAAAAGAGAAGCAGTAGTGCTCACAAACGACCGACCATAATGTTGGCCAATATGTTGTGTCCTTGGGCAAGCCACTTCACCCCCACTTGCCCTTTTCCACGTAGGAGTATAGATGGGTACCGTCTTTAGCTGAGGAAAAGCCTGCGATGGACTATAGCATTCCATCCAGGGGGAATAAAAATGTTCTCAGTCGTTTCATGCTACTGAAACCTGAGATAAGCGCCGGCCTGATGGGCCACATTGGCTCGTGACAGACTTTTTTTATGCCATTTGCCACATGCGAAACTGAGATGTATGTGAACATGGTGTTGCTGATAAAGCTGTTCTTTTCAAATATAGACAAGGGAAAATCAAGACGAACATATTTTTTCTTCAAATGAACAGAAAAGATCTGAAAAATTGAAACGATTCACCGATAGCCAGGGCAACCCCCATTGTGATGCACATTTTTCCCTATTTGCAATAAATACCTTTATAATGTTAACATCCTGTGCCATCAAACCAAACAAGATTACAAAAGGCGCATCGCTATAGACTACTTTGAATGGGGGACAACACATTTGCCGACAGGCCATACGTTCTTAAATGTAGACTGTTTTTCCCGGTCACCCGATTCCGTAAAATCCAAAAGCAGTGCGGAGCTGGGGTGGGTAGGTGGACACCATCTTCCTATAGCGTGAACTATTCAAAGCGGACAATCGTGGGCACTATCGGACAAAATAGGTGGCGCTCTTCATCCAGGCACATTTGTCAACGGACATACGATGTTGCCGACAGGACGACGATCTTGCTGACAAAAAAACGATTGCACGTAATCCTTTGATGAGTTGGAAGAGCTTGTTCTTCCTCCGCAGGTCACGCTGAACTCAAAAGAAAGGGTTCTATTGATTAGTCACCAAATTGATGTGGCTGGATAGTTCGACAGTTAGAGCACAAAATTCCAGAGGTCGTCGGTTCAAATCCTTCTGAAACCCTTTTTTTCAATCTTAATACTGAAATCAAGATTGATGGCCTGATCAATTGGTTGAGTGTTTTTTTTCTGGGACATGTTCAATGTTAGAATAATTGTTATGATTGAGGGAATAACTGGCAAAGGTCAAATGGAAATGAGGAGTGGCACTAGAGATTGTGCCAAGAAACTGCTAAAAAAGAGAAGAATGCACACATTTGAAACGAAAGATGAACCTATCGATGTTTGGAGAACGTCATAAGGTGTAGACATTGTTTTCTTATAAAACTGTAGTGTTATTGTTTTATTTACTTTATTTTATTTTATTTCAACCAGCCAACATCGGATAACCGTCTATTGCAGGCTTGGTAAAAACACTTAAACATTTAGAGTCCGAAGACAGAGTCTTGACACCATGTTTGGGTTGCCCACTCAATTAAGGCCTGCACTGCCACTTGTTTATATCTCCATCGTGTACATTCAAAGAAAAACCTATTACACTAGATACATTCACAATTCTAATAAATTATCATGTCCAATTTTTTTTTTAATTCATAATTACTCATATACAGGTTATCATCCACTCTAAATGCATAATCTACATTTTGTGTTTGTACATGTACATGTACACCGGCCTACATGCATTACAGTGCATGTACATGTATGTAACCGGGCGATATGTTGCTACATGCATTTTTACATTTTTTACCATGTGCATTTTTACATAAATGTTAACCCCAATTCTGTATAGCCAAAACGTATGACACTCGGCAGGTTTGGCGGATATCACGTCTCCCTCATAATGAAGCAAAGATTGGAAATAAAACAGTGAGACACTTAAAGTAATTGTTTATAATTCCCTAGCATAAAACTGTGGAGATGAAACAGAGAATAACTTCTTCTCCAACAAAATAATCCCAAACTGATGCCCTTTCACGACCTCACAATTTGTATCAGCGCGCCCCACCGTTAAAGTGGACGTGCCCCCTCTGTTGATTAACAATCATTCGACAAACTACAGTTTAAACAATGCTATGAAAAGTGTGTTCAAATTCGTTTCATTACAATTCATTGAATGAAAGTAGCGTCCCTACGCGACGCAGATAATATCTACAAAAATCATAGGCCAAAAGATATCCGATTAGAGGACTGCTTGTTTCTGAGTTATTGGTTTGTCCAAACACTCCGTCGACATACGAGTTTATCAAACTTGTGTATTATGTTATCACGATTGCTTCCTTATTTCATTTGTTCTCATAATTGTTTTCTTTTTCCATAGAATATTCACAACTCAACAATCCATGCGACTGATACGACGCACAAGACAACCTACAGTGACATTCATTCAACCCATCACACCGAGTATTCAGTTGAGTTTAAACTGGGGTGATTCTTTTTTTTACAATGGATTTACAACTTTACATTTTAAAAAAATATGCAAAATGACCTGTCAATGCTTGAAATTTATTCCACTGAATAGATCGAGTATTCACTCGCGTTTCCACTGGCCATCGCCAGGAGTGTTTCTTTTTCAAAATATTCAAATCTAAACTACCAATTATATTTACTTGATAGTCTGTTTCTTGTACATGTAGTTTCAGAACTGTGAATTCAGAGAATTCATTGGGTGGCCGGTAATGAGCTCCGTCTCAGTATAAAACCAAACTAGTGCGACCAATGCAGTTGTTTCCACCACACTTCATTCTTGTGCCATTTGTGCACGTATTTCTTGTATGACATCCATCCGTTGAAGTAAAGGTCTACCGAGGACTTCCAGCAAGTCGCTGACTGTCACGTGACCGTCAATCATCGCCCACTCTCGCAGCAGACACTCGGTGGGGTTGGTTATCCGCTGGCTGTCCAACACTGCTACGGACTCCACGTCTTTACCCAACTCGCCTATACAAGCCAAAAAAGGAAGAAGGATCTGAATACCGATTAAACGTTTCACTGCTGATCCTAGAAGGATATCATAGTGTTCTTTTTGCACCTTTCTCACTAATTGACCGAGTGTCACTTGTATTTTGGACAGGTTACCTATCTCACTGACTGAGTGAACAAAGAAATTGACTGCAGCGGGGGGTGAACTTGTGACCTCTGGAATGGCGTACAGGCACTTCACCAACTACAGCTATCCAGCTGTACATGATTAACGCGGTGAGGCAATATTAGAATGTCTTTGTTGATATGGCTCCCTAGCTCATCTTGAGCAAAGGCACTGCCAACATAGATCAAGATAGCTTAGTTGATCTAGCGCGCCGGTACAGTGTTCCAGAGGTCGGAAGCAGAAATTCAGCTCATAGTCCATTTTTCCTTGTGTTTCCCAAGTTGTTGAAAGTAAATGGAAGAAGGTTTAAAGCCAGGTTTATTTTACATTATATTCCTTTCCATGTCCTCCATTTTAATATTTTAAGCTTTGCTGTAGTTGATTAACTTGTATAACCACAGTTTTGGTTTTCAAAGGAATCTAATGTTCTGGTTTTTTTCTGACGGGAGAGCAATTAGTCTTATTTTGGTCGTAACCGAATGGGATACTATATAGATGGCTATGGCTTTAGGTTTTTTTTTTTATCATCGGCAAGCTAAGGTGAATAGTCATAGTAGTCGTAAGCTAACAAGTCTCACCTGCCAGGGCTTTCCAGTTTCTGATCCCGTGGGTGTCGTTAAGCAGCAAGCACACCTTATGAAAGAGGTCGGGAGGCAGTCTTGTAATTGGTGTCTTCGTAGTGAATGCTACCCGTTGTGGCAGATGGCAGGAACCACAGTCTGCATCCTGTGTCGTATGAAATGGGAGAGGAGGGGAGAAATGATCAAATCCAAATTGTTTTGTCAATGAACTGGATAGATGCCCGCTGTCTTCCAAACAAGTGCCTGGTCTCAATTAAGAATAGGTTTCTCTAAACTGATTTCTAAATTGAGCGAGCTACTCACAAACTCTAAAGTTCAAACACTGTAGAACCGTGCCGGCTATCAGAATCCCGCCCCTTTATCAATAAACTGTAGATGGCCTGTTTTATACTAGTGGTTTGTCTACCTGGTTAACGGTTACTGGGGAAACGTGAAGACAGTGGAGGTGTTATTCTAACACGAGGAACGTACTAAATATGCCC